GTGCCTGCCAGGCGCGCAAGCCCCGCAGGAGCGGGACAACAGCCACGCACGGGGACACCCGGCACAGCCCCGGCATGCCCGGCCACCCCCCCCTCGGCATGCTAAATCGGAGAAAAGCTTAAAATCCTACTTGCAAACCCACAGGGGAAACATTATTCCCCCCACAAAGCCACCTAAAGCACTGTGAGCATCAGCCGCAGAGACTCCCTTGCGCCCCAGATGTCCCGCCGGCGCATCAGCCGTGTGTCGGCAGACGCAGATCAGGACGGGAAGGTTTTAAAACAATCCGGTTTGAGACAATCCCGGTCCCCCAGGAAAGAGCTTGAGGAAGCTCCGATGGGTTTTAAGCGCAATAATTTAAGACAGGGAGCTCCGTGGGCACCCCAGCCCTCAACGCGCTCCGGGATGCTGCCAGCCCCACCAAGGCACGCTGCCCTGGGACTGGGACAGGGCTGGGTGCCATCACACCCCGGGGGACACCAGAGCACCCCTCCACCAGCCGGTGTGACACCCGCGGCCACCAAACCAGGGATGGGGAGAAGGATGTGCTTCCCAAGCAAGCTGGGAAGCCGCCGCTCCGCTAAACCCAATCCGAAGGCAGGCGGGAGGAGAGACAGGCAGGGCACGAACGGAGAGAGAAAGAACAATAAAACCACCCGTGGGACAATAAAACCACCCCAACATCCCCTTCCTCACCCGAGAAAACCTCTCCTGGGTGCCCCCAACACGGCACAGGGACACCGGGTCAGACCACGGCATGGGGAAAAGGCAGACAAAGGCACAGCCAGAGAGACCCCCCCCAAAAAAAAACCCCAGTTCTCAGCACAAGCGATAATTTGATGGGGAAAACGTGACGTTTCCCTTGTTTTAAGCGTTAGCAAATTATTCTGCTCCTAATTACAAAATTATCATTATTATTATTATTAAAAAATAAATCACTTTATAAATTCCGCGCTCTGCTATTGTTTCCAGCCTTCATTGATGGATAAATAGAGGAAATCAATAATTACTGGCCGGGCTGCTCGGCAGGAGGGGAGGGTAACGGGGGGACCGGCGTGGAGCCACTCGCTCCTCGACATTCAACTGGTTGGACATGTCCCCCCATCTGCGACCCCTTTCCCAAATCCAACCCCTCCACCCATGAGGCAGGGAGGGAAGGACACACAAAGAAAGGAAAGACCAAGAAGCCAAAGGGATGAAGGCGGCCAAAATAAACTCAGATGCAGCTTTGGCAAAGGCTCGGCACAGGCTCCGGACTTTTTCCTTCACCAGCTTCTCCGCGCAACTGAGTTACTGCCTGGTACTGGGAAGGTCAGAGAGAAAGGCAGCGTGATTCCAGCAGACAAAAATACAGAGCCCCATCCTCAGAGTCACAAGGGATAAGAGCCAAGAGAGCCAGGGACTGCCGCCACTCTAGCGATCAACCTCGCCATCATTAGGTTTCAGAGTCAAACGCCAGCAGAGAAAGGGGTTAATCTTCCCCAAAGAGAAGAAGCAAAATCCACCCGGCATGCTCATCCAAGGTCTCAAACGATTTCCCCGGCCTCCCAGCGGTCCCTGCTCCCGCTTTTCCTCCCACCTCCTCCCCGGCACGGTGATGCATTGCACCTTGACCAGGCGAGGAAGCCATAAAGCAAGGCTGAGGGACGGGGCAGAGCAAGACGAATGGATTTAATATCAACCCGAACGGAGCGTGGGCTATCGCACCAAATGAATTATTCATTTTGGATTCAATAACCGCCTCCATTTCGCATTGACCCACAGCTCTCACGGGCACGAGGTGCCGAGGAGGATGAGGTAGGCAGTCCCACCAGGCTTTCAGCTACGGCGTGCCATCATCCAGCCGAGAGCAACGCAGCTTCGCACCAGCCAGGAGGTCTGTAGTGCCAAACCCCAACCAGCCCGGGATGGAAACCAAAAAACGGGGCAGATCGGTAAAGAAAATCTCCTTCCCTCCCACCGCCATCTTAGCGTTGTGGTGGTAATGACACCCCCCCATCACTCTGACCCCAAAACACGACGATAATCTCTTCGGGACTGAAAATAACCCCGCTGAAGATTGCGCTCTGCCTGCGCCTTTCGCGAGCGGCTAAGTGCCGATAAAAGCTGGTATTAATGAATCCCTCAGCGGCCCCGAGCTCTGCTGTCAGCACGAAACCGCTCCGGTCTAATAGCCCCGTGATAGGCAGCGCCTCCATCCCAGGGGGTGGGAGGGATGAGAGAGGGCTGGGGGAGCTAAACAATTCAACCCGATTTTTTTCCCCCCACGGCTGAGGAATTAAGCCCATTTTCTCAGCCTTAAAATACCAAGAGATTTTTTTTTAATTTTTTTTTTTTTTTCCTTGGTGACAACTCCCTCAGGCTTGTTAAGTGGCTCATCTCAGGTTGATGAAGGCTTTGAGCAGATGTCAGGAGCGTGTGCCTCCCGGGAGCCGGGGTGAGAGCCTGGCAGCATCACCAGCAGCTGAACACGACCCCTTCCAGAGCACAAAGACAAATAGAAAACCAAGAAATTAGCATTTCTAACCCTTGCGTTGTGCCACCTCCTGCCCGCCAACCTTTGGGAAGGGCGGCAGTGGGTCCAGAGGTCCTCCCTCGTGGTCTCCCAAGGTCCACAGTGAGGATACAAGGGTGCATACAAGCTACCAAGAAGCCAGAGTCCAACCCAAGGTCAGATTTTTCCTCAAACACAGTGAATTTTCCAACAGCTCTAACGTAAAGCCCTGGCTCAGGCTTTTAGGACTGGGAAGTTCCAGGAGGGGTTGGTGGGTTTATTGGTTTGGGGTTCCTCACCAGCGTCAAGCAGGACCTTCAAACGTGCAGGTCCCACATACAATCCCAGCCTTTTGTCCATCCTCCTGACGTGTGAACTGGGAAATACTCTCCCAGGACTGGGAGAGGGGAGGAATCAGAGCTCTGCTATGGAAACAGTGTCGCACCAGCGCCCAACCATGCTCACGGGGTCATCCAAAAAGGATGGTCCTATCATCACGCATGTGCTTGATGCCATTTAACCACCTGTTTGGTCTGCATCCACAGCGTACTTCGGTGGTTTTCAGAGTCCCAAATGCTGCTGGCTGACCCATAAAGGACATTTCTGCTCCCTTAGACCCATCAGGGTCCTGAATTTCCCCCTCAAGGAGCCCAAATGCAAAGCGTCCTCCCCACGCAAAGGCAAAACGCTTGCCGGGGTCTCCACAGAGCCCACCCTCGGGCATCACAAGGGGTTTCTCCTTCAACATCAGTGCTGCTGAGAAGTGGCTGGAGATGGGCACTACAGCACAGAAAACTCAGCAATTCCCCAACGCACAGGGGGCTGCTCGGCACAGCTTTGATGGCATGAACACATCATGACAATTTTGACATTTGCACAAGAAAAGGAAACAAAAAAACACGGAGATGGGTCTAATGCCCACCCTGAGCAGGTTTGCTCCTGTGACTCTCACGTCCTGCTGTCCTACTTCATCCCTGCCCCAAACCACGAGCATCGGGTAGGCACAGCACGCTCTCACCAGGGGGGTAGAGGTGGTCAAGACGTCAGCCTCCTCCACCGTCCCGTCCGGCAGCAGACAGAAAGGTCAACACCACCAAAACCCACAGCAGTTTTACATTATTATTGTTTTCCTGCATTTCTGGCAAAATGACATTATTTCCCGATTCCAGTCTTTAGCTAAAATTAGTATTTATTTTTCCACGATGAGAAAAATGTCATTTTGCCATACAACCATGTGCGCTTTCTGTTTGTTTATTCAATAGCAGAGGAACGTCTCGCCAGAAACGCTCCGGCTTGCGAAGAGCCCTCCCTCCGACGGAGCGCTTCAACTCCTCACGGACCAGCTCAAAACCAACGTTCAGGGTGAACCACACAACTCAAAGGAATCCCCCAGCGATGCCGCTCGATGCGTAAGCAAGGCGTGAGCGCACAGACTCTGGTGGTTTCCCACTTGTTGGAGCGCTGACACGGGAAGGCATCGCCATCCC